CGTTTCGAATGCTTTATAGCAATCGTGGTCATGGGAGAGGCTAAGGTTTTAGACGTCTCAAAAGCATTATGTACTTGTTATATACTTGTTATAGTGGCTTTGAGGTTATTTTTATAGAGGTATAGGTAAAGCAGAATAAACATATCCACATATACATATCTATCTCTAAGGCGATTTTCTAATCCTTAGGAGAAATATGGAATCTTGTACATAGAGCATACAAGCTATCAAGGGCTCCCTGTGTAGCTTGCGGACAAACGTCGTGGTAGTAATAGATAGTACAAATAATACAGATGGTTATTAATCCCGGGATGAAATAGGTATTGTTTTGCAGAGTACAAAATTTATCCACCCGTAACACACATCTGTAAAGAACAAAACCACTATATGTATAAAAAACGAATAGTAAAAGCTTAAAAACGAAAAAAGCTATTGAATGATGAGACGTCATTGAGACATCTCCTTTCAAGACGACTTTTTTTATTAAAATTTACAAAAAGCAAGCTTTGGAACACAAGAATATAAATAGGAAAAAAGTTTTTTTTTGTAGAAAAGTTAAGGGAGATTTTGTATGTATTTTAACCGAGAGTTTGAAACATCTACTATGAAAACTCATTTGAAAAGTAATTATACATGTTGTTTTCACAGACCGCAGTAAAAATTAACAAAAACAAACTCATCTTAATTAAAGAAAACTTTTAAGCTATCAACATGATGGATTCAATGTCTATACAAAAAGGGTTGTGGGCAAGAGTCATATTTCAATTAAACGGGAGATACCGTTTCTCTTCTTTGTATGCTATGTAAATACAAACATAACGTATTTGTCTATGTAGAGTGATTAAATTAGAAATTAAAAAAAAAACAAAATCGGAATTTTGCGAGTTGGATACGCGAGTTGATATTTCATATCACTACCCAATATATGTCTGTATTTCAATATTTACTAATAAAAATAAAATTTTGTACAAAAACTCTCTAAGATAAGTACTATTAGCACTTTGCTATCTTATATTGTTGTTTGTTATACTTTTGAGCTAGCGCCATAATGGTCACTTAGTATGACGCTTGTTTTAATACCCGATATAAGCAACAATACATATAATAGAGTAAGAAAACGAAAAAAACGAAAGAAAGGATTTCCCTTGTCATCACTGAAAATGGACAACGAATTTTAGCCTTTATGTACTCTCTCTCTCTCTCTCCCTCTCTCTCTCTCTCTCTCTCTCTCCCTCTCTCTCCCTCTCTCGCTACTCAATTACTCCCAAATTAGCGTTGCAAAACCAGGAAGATCCGAGTACAGTGGAGCATATCTCTCCAGTAATAGTGTGGTTTGATCGGGATAGCGAAGAAGTTTAGCCCTAACAAAATCTCATTACGGCACACAATGATATTATCATCTAAGCAGGATATTACGAAATAGACACTTAAATATACTGTTTAATGTTGATAGACAAGATCTTGAGTAGGTATATAAGCACAATACCATTTGCGGTTGGTTATTATGTCTAATATGTGCCTATTGGACTGAAGATAACAAGTAGGCGGTTAACAACCGAGTGAACTGCTTAAGTACTATAGGAGATAAGTTGTGTTATGACAACACTTTAAAATGGCACATCTATCTTATCACTTATGTATCTTTATAATTACATAGATATTATTAAGAAAAAATTGTGAAAATAAATTATATAATTGTGACTGTTAAAGTGTAAAGACACTATTTAGTAGCATATGTTAAAATTGGAGAGCTTTGGAGTGTAAATGGTAAATATATCGGAAACCAGCACAAATGTTAAAAATGCAGATGTATCTAGACCAGCCTAAACTTTTAATCTTTTTAGAGGAAACTACACGAGACGCGCGCTCTATGATCAAATCTCTTTGCTTTAGACTTGATTAAGTACAGTTTTCACTTGATGTAGTCTCCTACTCGAGTATCTCAGCAGTCATTATGCTGACAAAGGAGATGTACAAAGTAATATTGTGAAAACTAATCACATAAATGGATTTTTTGTCTTTGGAACGTAATCTTTTAAAACGTAGTTGATAATAATCGTACACATAGAAAACACGACCAGTGACAAGATAATTTCATTTGCAGAAACGAGTTCTTATAATTAACCATATCAAGCTTACACTTGTACTTTTCTTTAACAACTCTCTAAAGCCGATAAGTGAAATGTTCGCAACAAAATAATAAAGTGATAATTGATTAAAACTTTCAAATAGCAACATCAAAGGGTCATCATAACCTAAAACTTTGTAATCTTAGTCAAAATTTGACGCAGACGTTATAAAATCAAACAAGTGTCACTACACCGCGCTAACATTTTCGAGAACGTTATTTAACAAAATATTAGAATAGAACTCATTCTCAAAAAGCTAATGACATGATATTTTTGTATTTGTTGGTTTAGTATGTAGGATACTGACAGTGTAGTCTTATTAGGCTGGAACTAAATGCAAGAAATAATAATAACGCTTGGCCGAAATAACTTTACTATTCATGTAAAATATAAAAAATGTTAGATAAATAGATAGATACATTCTTTATTGCACACACAAAAAAAGAGTAGGTACAGAAGATAAAAATAAAAAATAAATAACAAAGAGGCATGCAAAGTCGGTCTTATTGCCACGAGCAATCTATTACAGACAACCTTTGGTGAAAGGATTAGAAGAATCGTAAACGGGACGGTACAATTAACACTAAATATAGACATGATGAACTACGCTTACAAACATGAATACATACATACATACATAAATACATACATACATACATACATACATACATAAATACATACATACATACATACATACATACATACATACATACATACATACATACATACATACATACATACATACATACATACATACATACAATGTAATGTTAATATTGAGCTGGTTAAAAAATATGTCGGTACATATTAAGTAGATAATATTTCAGAAATAGGAAGGATTTCAGTTTGATTATTTATCTTTAATTTTGATAACAACTGCTAACCTCATATCAATATAAACAATCAACATTTTAAAATATGTATAAACATTACAAAATTTGAATAGTAGTAGATTATATATTAGTAAATAGCGACTTAGACTCGGTTAACCTTTATGTGTTAAATTCCATTTAAACCCATCCAGCCGCTTTAACACGTGTTTGTTTTTACTTCTCACTCAATTATAAGAAAATCATTTTTGATCGAATTTAAATACAACTTAGTATACATGTAGAATAATTTACAACCCGCTGACATCTTCTCGTGAGATAATATATGTATATAATTTAATACAGTACTTTACTATTTCTTATGTGTATTTTGTTAGTTTTATTACACTGATACGACTAGACAGATGAGTTTAGATGAAATTTAGTAAATAGATATGCTATGACCTGGAGTAACACAGGCTACTGTTTAGCATCTAACCTGGACGCACTCAAGCGAAGCGAGAGTAAGTCACTAGTTATAATATATATTGGGTCATGGGTGGTACTCAAAAAATTGAAAGAAAGAAAACATTTTTCATTTAGTTGATACTGCGAACAGCAGCTAGTATAAAATAAATACAAACGAACATTTCTTTGTTTTATGATCCTCTTGTCGCTTCAACCAATAAGGTTAAAATAACGCCATTGGCGCTCTTTTATTCTGGTCTATCAAATAGTTTCTAATTAAAAATCAATTTTTAATATACGTGTGACCTATTTTAAAATATTTGAGTCTTGCAAAACAAAAATTATAGAAGGTTTGAAGGAAGGAAAAAAATAATGGCGGAATCAATGGATAGGAATAATTATATTATAGGTGTCTTTATCAAGTTTAATATATCATGTCATTTATGGATATCAAAGTAAACAAGGTGGTAATTGGTAAATGCACCAACAAGATCCAACTAAAGCGTGCCACTCACAGATCTCTTGAAGCGCGCTGTAGTCGTTCATGATCGTTATTGGATGTCAAACTAAGTTGCGTGGATATGATTGAGCTTACTTCATTTCGTGATAATTCTCTTTAAATATAAAAGACATATATAAACTTTTTTTTACGACCTTTGATAAAATAATATTTCACGTTGAATATATATATATATATATATAATCATACACAAAAGTTATTTAACAATCATATTTTAAGTGTAATTTTTAAGAGGTTATATTTTAAAGTTTTGGTGCACGGAGATAATATTTTTTCTAGGAAGATGTGAGTGTGATACATATATTGCGAATAAAGACATAAAAGAATGGAATGTAATTTTGAAATTAATTCTTAGCTCTAAAAACTCTCTAAACGGGGCAAAAAACAAAAATTCCGGCTTACGATAATCCGGCATACTAAATCCAAATTATAGACCAATCAAAATACGAGCAACACAGACAACTACTACCGCATCATCCCTTTGTCTCGTTGTCCAGTATTAATTATCGCACGGCTTTGTAATGCCAAATCATCAGTCTCTACTTAGGTAGTAGGTGTGTGTATTCAGCCCTTTTTAACGTCCCACTGCTGGGCACGGGCCTCCCTTCAATACGAGGGGGATTAGGCCATAGTCCACCACGCTGGCCAAGTGCGGGTTGGCGGACTTCACATGTCTTTCGAAAACTTGCTAAGTTCTCTAAGACATGCAGGTTTCCTCACGATGTTTTCCTTCGCCGTTAAGACAAGTGGTAATCATGTTGGAAATGATTCGCACATGAAAATATCAGAGGTGCGAGACCCGGGATTTGAACTCGCTTCACTCGGTTTCCCAAGCGAGCGCGTTACCACTGGGCTACCACTGCCTTTAGGTAGTAGGTACTTTACGGCTATTGTACGATTCTTAGGTTCTAATACTAATAACTAATATCCGACCTGAAGTACTATTAATAAATAATATTTTCACAAAGTTAATTATACTGTTGTTTCAGGTTGCGGTAGCAAGTCGTCAGGGGTGAGGTGTGCGACATGTGGCGGCGATGACGCGGCGTGCAGCGCGCGGCATGCCCTGCTGACATGGCACGCAGCCGCTCCGCCCTCCTTACGCTGGCAGCTCTCACAGCACTCGCCGGTAATACTGTATGAGTTAAAAATTAGTGATAAATTAAGTTTTGAACGTAATAATGAAAATAAGAAGTAAACGTACAATAATATAGCTAGGCCATTTCAAAAAGATTTAATTGCCAATGCCATGAAGATGACACGAAAATTGGGCAGTAAAAACATAATTACACACTGTAAATTCAAAAAGTGTCTAAGGTATATTCTTATCTAACAAAAATGTGTTATAGAAAAATTTAAAACGCAACTTTATCTTTCATGGCAACTAGTTTGTGAAAGGATTTTAAAATTCATAAATTTTTAAAAAATTAACTCAAGTGCATAAATTAGAAGTCTGCCAGCCACTAAGAAAATGAAATATCAGAACCACGTTAACAAACCTTTTTAGTAGAGATTTAAAGATAAAGAGCTTTAGAACAGGTACTCGTATAAAAATGCAGTTTTCTTAAAAAGTTTCTTTATTGCAAAGATGTGAACAATTTTGTACTAAATCATTAAATAGATATGATTTTCCAAATTTGTTATAAAAAATCATAATTGAAGATTAAACCTATGTTCTGATTATTATTAATTCTGTTTCCTTTAAAGGTTTAAAGGTCAAACAAACCTTCGCTCATTAGTCACAAAAAATGGATATTTTTCGCTATAATTTAAGAATAAATTATGTAAATAATGGATGAAAAATATATATATATATATATAAAAAATCTTTATACTAGTTTTATACAAAATTGTAGTTAATTTACACGAAATATAGACCATAAAAATAAATAAAATTTACGGAATGCATAAAAAAATAACTTTATTATTATAATTGAATAACTTTGTAAATGTTATGAAACCAGTCACAGGTAAATCTAATGTGTGATTGTTTACAAATGTTAGCAGGCATTCATAATAAAGAGCATCTTTTACGCAGCACGTTAAAGATTTATTAAAAATTCGGAAGAACTTAAACGTAAAAATTTAAATTAAACATATTATTATGCAAAGTAAACTATTTCTTTTAAGAGTAAAAGCTTAAAAAAAAGTATATATAGCTTTAAAAGTGTGATTAGTATAGCATCAATCTGGCGTACTGCTGCTTGTAAACATAATCATCTTCGGGAGAGATACGAAGTATAATAAACCATAATGTATAAATACGGACAAATATAATGCTTATGTAGTATGTACGTAAATGTACTACTGCAGATACAAATATATTACTAAAAACTCACTCACGATATTAGGTAAACGCTCACACGAATATGCTGCCTGCTAAGGAACGCTTTGCTGGATTGGATCATGAGCAGATATTATTTAAAATTCCTTGGCTACGAAACTCGGAAAATCTTGCACCGTATCTTACACCCTTGTATCTGCAAAAGTTTTCTGATTTTATTTTTATTAATACAAAAAGAAAAAACCCGACTGCGGAAAAACTGAACTAAAAAGCAGAGAGCAAGTTGACGAAGTGACGTAGTATTATGCAGTCGAAGACATACACACTCGCAGATATTCTAAAACATATATTTACATAATACATATTATGTTGCGATGGTATATTAACTCTCTCAACTACCTTAATGGATGTGATAAATAATGACTGGCTCCACTCAAATAAACCAATATGTCTATTACCTATGTTATAATTAAATATTTTTATAACTTTGGCTCAGTGTGTAGTGACCCTACTTGCTGTGTCAGCGGTCGCGGGTTCGAGTCCCGCTGGGGGCATTCATTGTGTGATGAGCACGAATGCTTGTACTCCAGTCATGGGTGTTTATATTAATAATATGTATGTATTTAAAGTTTATATATGTGTAGTGTATCAAGTATCTGGTATCCATAATACAAGCCTTGTAGCTTACCATGGAACTAGATGGTGCTGTGTGTTAATGTTCCAACACAACAACAACAACATTTTTATTACTACTTAGGTACTTTTTATTACTTTTATATTTTTCTACATATTTAGAACTTATCTCACGTACAATGACTTTATACAAAGTAGCTACAAAATAATAAATAGTGTTAATTGGTTGGTACATAAGATAATGTTGTCTGATTTTAGTATCATATACAGTATTGTCGATAGAGTTTGATTGCATTCCATTTACATAAGCGGCGAACGATGTACCATACAAATAGCCAAAGCCACTTAATGAACTAACGAAGCATTGGGTAATGACAGCCGCATTTTGTGCTCGGTCACTGAATACCAACAGTCAAATTGTTCAATTAAAAGAGAGTGGAGAGCACTTTTAAAGTTTTTATTTTTCGCATAAAATTGCCTAACTCTTGAACTGCAATATTCTACTTTCTATCTATGTTTTCGTTTACAAAAAAACAAACAAAATTTGTTTTGCGTTTCCTGTGGGAGCTTTACATTATTCTTAGACATAAAGAATTCTAAACGTTTATTCGAAAAAAATAAAATGTAATCTCTTGACCCACACATTGGTTCCTACATCGTGAGAAGTCAAACAAACTATAGTTTAAAATTTAAAATATATTATATTGTGCCCAAATGTCACGCCTATAAGCCACAGAACAAAGAACATTGAAAATATATTTGTACGTACAAATTTTGTTCAGATTTTTTAAAATTAATATTATGTCTTTATTACTTAAATAATAATTATTGATTAAATGAACGTGAAGTTTACGAACTTTAAGCAATAAAAGGGTATACAAAGAGTGAACATGCTAATTACTGCTTATGGTTATATTACAGTTCTACTTCTGAACTGCATAAATTTAAAAGTGCATAAATTTTAAAGCACAAATTTAAAAGTCCCAGATTATTAACGTGATATGATTATCAAGTATGTAATACTTACTATAGGTATAAAATACTATTTTCCTTAGTTCTTTGTTAGCATCTCAATAGTGTACAGACTATTCCGAGAATAACAAGAGGAATAAGAAAAGATACAAGAAAGAGCGATTGGTACAATTATAATCATGCAATCTAATTCGTTAAGAATCAATCTAAATATAAATATCTTGGGACATTAATAAACACCATCTAGTTCCAAGCTTGTGTTATGGATACCAGATAGTTGATACACTATACATATTAATTATGATATAACTTTAAATACATACATATTATAAATATAAGCATTAAGCACCCATGATTGGGGTACAAACATTCATGCTCATCACACAAATTAATTCCCCTAGCGGGACTCAAACCCGAGACCGTTGGCACAGCAAGTACACTACAAACTGAGCCAAACGCGTCGTTGTATATTATGTATAACTGTAATAATTGTATAATAAAGTCATACTTTTCTTTGCAAATTTAATAAATACTCGTATACCTAATGACAATGCACACTGAAATCTAGTAACGGTACAAAAGTAATCTCTCTCATGTCTATTTATAAAAAAAATTCGTTGTCTATATTAAATATGTAAACGGACCCTCTAATACAAAAAATATTAAAAATCTTTGATTCATAACATTGCATTCGGGTAATCACATGCAGTACAACACAATAACGTGATGATATTACTCGGTTTCAGAAGTGAGTACTTCTCTTTAATCTGCGGCGACCTGAATTTGCTTTGAAAATTTTCGCTTTGTTCGGCTCTCGAAAGCGGTGACTTTTAAATTTACACATTTACCCTATTATGCTGGTTTTCATAGTATACAGTTTTAATACACTAACATTAGGAAACAAATGTTAAAGACCGCTTACGGTCTGTTCATGCAATTTAATTTAAGTCATTTCTCTCAGATATTCCTACAGTTTGAAAAATATATTAAGGAATCTATGGTTTCTTTCCTGTCTACCCCGCTAGGGAAATACCAGTACAATATTCTTGGTTGCTATTACATACTTTAACATAATTGTTAAGATAACTAACATAAAATATATAGATAACGTATATTTTAAAATAATTAACGCTGTGTTTGTTTAAAAGAACGAGGAAACTACATTACTCTATGATTGTTCATATTACACTTCGCTTTTCAAACATTTCTTTTTAAAAATACCTTAATTGTTAATATATTAGTTATTAATAGTGAAATACATATATAGTTTATGTACATATTTCTAATTATTACATTGTGTACTAAATAATTTCTGCAATGTTTTATTGCCATTATTTCAATCAACTGTCCAAGTGATAAAGAGAATCAACAATGAATAATCACAAAAAGACCACAATAGGCCATCTACGTATAACTTAACAACACACGGCCACAGAATAGTATATAATATTTTAATAATTAATCATTATGTATTACATTATAAATATATATAGAGTATCGTGTAAGTAATTACTTTCGGAAACATTCTTAAACCTTGTTTACCATCTAGGTACTTTGTTTTTTCATACTAATTTCCGTTTCATACGCAACGATCACAATGGGGTAGAGGCAGTGAAATTGCGCTTTTAATCCTCCGGGGTCATACTTCCTTTGCGATACTTATTAAATCTTGTTCCTTGTATTCCAAAACTTTTGAACCATGTATTTACAGAAAGAAGTGTTTCACCTCCGTGGTTAGTTTCCGCGAAATCAATTATCAACTGACACGCCGGCGTATCCGTGACTTTTCAAACTAGAAAATCTCTAAAATATTTTCTACACGTTTTATTACAGTATTACCTGACATATCAATTACTTTGCCAGTTTTAATACTCTATTGATATATGTGCGCCTTCTATCGACTATACCATAATTTTAATATGTACGTAATTAAAAACGATGCGCGAGCTTAACGTCTGAAAACAATGCTATCGTTATCATACTTAGTTATTATTAACTCACTGATTATTTTTCATACTACGACCGACTTGACCTACTTTGAATAGGAGACTGGCAGGAATAGAGATTAAGTATGGTTTTTTCTGCATAAATACTTGCACAATATGATATGTTCCAAGCAGTCTTAGATAGGCCACCGAAACTAAAATTGGTTAGAAGGATATGATTATTTTTATTTTGTACAATATTATAGTAATGGAACTTAATGCTTTTGACCTGGATCTGTGGAAAACTTACGTGGAGAACGCTGTAACTAGAATCCCTTGGAGAACAGCCCAAAAATAGTCACCGGCTAATGCGTTAGAACTATGAATAATATGGGAGAGCTAAAAACACTACGGGGTGTGACCTGGGCAGGCTTAAAACTGGGCTACTGGATGAAACTACCAAACATTCGCTCACTCTCATCGCATCAATGCTCTTATTAACGCTTCTGCTTTTGGCCCCCACTGGATAGAATCTCAAAAATTTACAAAATATTTGCCCATAATGTTATGCCTAAGTACCCGGCGTAGTTAGCTAAGGGCGTGGAGAGGTATTCACCGGTTTAACCATCGTGAGAGAGCTTGTAAGCGAGTTTTCCTATCACTTCCACCTTTTCGAGAAACTAGCTCTTGCGCCTCACTCAGGACGCAAAACGAGGCAGAAGATTGATGTTGTTTGTGGTATCACCATATTATTATTGAGTCATCTAGTATAAATCATTATTACTGACTTATGCCAGTTTTTCTAGCCGGTGAGTCCCACGTAACCATCTGTCTGTATGTATTCAGGTGATATGTGTATATGCAATTTCCAACGTTAAAAATAATCTTTACTAACTAAACGTTAATATAATAATTACGAAAATGTGTTCGTCGGTTTATTGATTTTCTCTAGACATATAAAGTAACAGATCCAAGTCTATATATAACTTTTAACTAGATTTCGTACGTGGGTGTATTTATATTATGTTCGCAATCTCTAAACATATTCCAACTTAAAATGAAACCAACAAAGAAAGAAAGAAACAAAGGAAATTGAGTTTCTCATTACTATGTTTTTATTGTTTTATATTTATTTACTAAATATTCCATATATTTTCCTAGATAAGTATTTTTCAATTGATGTTATAACAACGCGTCCCCTCCTTGTCTTGAACTTTACTAACCAAAGCAATCAGATCAAGAACCATTGGTTCTATAAACTGTAAGATCTCCTTAGTTACATATTGAGCGTAAAAACGTCCAAAGATCATTTGTAATTCACAAGTTTAAAAAACACCACTTTTTCTCACATTTACTATACTGTATATGTACATATATAACTAGCTTCTTAAATGGAATATTAAGTTTCTATGTCTTAAGCCAATACGCTCATGGGCACACAATTACCCCCCCCCCTCCACCTCCCTCCATCACCCCATCCTCTCCCCTTCACCTTTTGTATTTATAATATACATATATTTATTTGACTGGAAGAGATCGCTTTCAATGTATTTTTTATGACTACTTTTTTTTTGCAATAAATAATATATATATTTAAAGAAAGAATTATAATAAGAATTAAGAAATATATATAAATTAATCGTCCGCATGCAGGCGCCCACCTACGAGTGTGAACGCGCTATGATACTAATAATAATTTAGATTCATAGCACGTTTATAGGGAATAGAACTTTTAAAATTAACGAGCTTTAAACCTATAAATATTTCATAAAATTATAAATTGTAATGGCTTAGAATTATATATAAATGATGTAATACGTTATTATTAACTAATCACACTATGTATTCAACAATAACATGTTACCTAAATGTTATACCTGTCCCTTTTGATAAACAAAAGGTATTGTATGTTATTAGCATCCAATCGACAGAGCGACTATTGCTCCACGCCGCCCTCGCTTGTTTGCTTGTACTTAATCAGACAAATGCTAAGTAAATCTATAATGGGTAATTATTGTACAGTTTTTTAAATAGATTAATTATATTTAATTTTAATAGATATTTAAAGTATAAAGATAAATAAAATTAGAGTGTTAGTATATTGAAAAGGCGTTAAAAGGTAATTATTATTTAAAAAAAAAACAAGAAAACACGAATTATAAAAACTTTCATCTTGTCAAAAGTTCAAGATCTATTTTATGTACCAAAGCTATTTTTCTATTTTTTCCTTTCCATATTTCCTAACTTACTGCTCTTCAAAACTTGTTACGAGTTAACATCAACATCCTCTTAAAAGTTTTTCCTGCAATACTATACTTATTCACATACGAGTTGCAAACATCCCTCACTTAAAACTTTGAAAATGAAACTAGGGAAAAACTGAAAATGTAAAGCTTGAACAAAAAGCAATAAAACGTGCCTACCATAATACTAACGACTGGATTTAGCGTTGGAACTCGGAGTTTGTCGGTCGATTGTGAATACAGTATGATTAAGTGGTGTTTGTTGTGTGGCCGCAGGGTGTTGTGTGTGCGCGCCGCAAGGCAGCGTGCAGGGCGGCGTGCAGGGCGGCGCACAGGTGCCGGCCGTGTCGCACTCCACCGCGCCGCCCGCCGGCGTCGGCGGCGTTCGAAGGTACGATCACCTCTGTGCTTACATTTTGTCTATCACACACGCACACTGTCCCTAGGAGAAGGTGATTCCGCAGCTTTATATCTGCCTAATACTGCCCTAATACGCCGTTAATCACTGCTCCTAGTCTGTTTACGACCCAAGTTTATATCCCTTGAGCCCACACCTCGGGAAATATTAAACAACTGCCAAACCGCCGCTCAGCATATCGTCCCCTTTCTGTGTAAACCTCGTAACTCCATTTTTTTCGAAATTGAGATTTTTAGCGAAAATCACTCCTTAGCACTCTTGTAACGTAAAACAAAACATGCAATGTCCATAATGTTCATAGATTATTTTTAGAGGCTTTTGATTTTTCTCGTATCTACATGTTCGAATTCAAAAACCTCGTATCTACCGTAAGTATCGCTGAAAACGTTAAGATGGCGTTGTTGTCTTATTACTGAATGTTTGTAAACATGTTCACACTTAAGTTGACTGTATTCTGTTGATTGACATTTATTTTTTATTCATATGAATACATATAAGTATTAATATAAACCATAAGTAAGTATTATTTATTTAAATACTTAAAATTTATTTTTTAACTAAAAATCATTTATAGAATTTTTATTTCACATCAAGTAAATAAGAAATAAAATTATTGTTCAAGTTATTTCTTATTACTTATTTTTCAGATTATCCTGCTGTTAATTTGTACATTATTAAATAAATTGTAAACATATTTGAAAAAAATAATTAAATCATATTATAAATAGTAATCATATGATTTATAACACATTAAATCAAAATCAAATGAATTTGTTTTAATTAATAAATATAAAATAATAATGAATGTGAAAGCCTTGCATAAAAAAATTTTTCGCCAATGATCTTATAGAAAAAAAAAATTAATTTCAAAACCTCGTATCTGCAAAAAAGTTACCAGGGTATTTGATGAAAAAACTCGTATCTACGTTAAATTGATAATAACAACAAGGTATCGATGTAGATAGCAAAAATGATGTTTAATTATTTTAAGGTGATAAATAAAGAGTATAAATTTTAAATTAGTTATAACTTTTTATGAAAATTAAGTAACTCTAAACGTTTTTATCGATTTACTGAAAATTAAGATTTTGTAGATACGAGGTTTACACAGAAACGGGACGATATTCAAAATTAGGTCAGCTAGTAGTACCTTTTTTAAATATGCCCATGAAAATACCTTTTATAATGAAATAAGTTATTATTATAATAATCAAGGTTTGTATAAAAAATATATACTCAAGGCGGTTCTTCTATACAAAAAAGATATTATAATTAAATAGACAAAAAAAAACATTCATCAAATCTGTTTATTTTTCTTACGAATCTTTTTATTCTAAGAAGTAATTTTACGCCCACCAAACTGTCGTACGTCTAACAAAATAAGTTAGCGCGACGGTCTAAGTGCTTATTGTGAAAAGCAGAGCGATATCCTGCTATTTTATGGCTGTATTTAATGACTAGCTTAAGTCCAACACTCGCGGGAGAATAAACGAGCCATAGTTATTAGATAATACAAAGTTATATACGTCCGTCGAATATATCTACTGTAAATTAATTTGTTGACGTATACTTACTGTGAATACGATGATATAATTTTATAATAAAGCTGCTCGGAAATACTTTCTCCGTAATTAAACATATCTTGTTTAAAAATAAAATTATGTGTTTTCTATCCAGTTAACTGTGTGTCGAAATCTAAGTGAAATAGTTAAGTTTATGTTAATACGAAGAAAAGTAATATTAACCCTATTAATTTGATCCCAATTCTATATTACTTTCTGACGATTTTTGTGAGTTCACAGAATAAGCAAAACTGAGTCACAATAAACTTTTTATTGCACATCACTCACTTGATGTTGAGTTGATACAGTAAAAGTTCATTGTGGACGTAAATGTGTGAGTTGTGTTTTATATATTATATGTTATCATCCGCAACGAAACGGCTCCGACGAGATAACGTAAGTAATTTATTAATTTAGAACCATTTACCGTAATCTCTGTAATAATGAAAACCAGAATGCAGATAAGAATTCTAGATGAATTCTTATAAATCATCGATTGTTACCGATGGTTGACGTAAGCCTAGATCCACTGCATGGTAACAGACATACATAACTGCACGTTTGATTTGTAGTTTAATGCGCAAGTAGGAAGCATTTGAGGCAAAATGAATGCATACTCATTGCAGAATTACCTAAATATATTTACTTGTATATCAAACTTGAGGAGTCCCATGACATGACTGGTATTTAGAGAGTAACATTTGAGAATTGTAAAATATCTTCTTAGGAAATGATGAATTTAAAAGTTAAGATTTGCGAAATTGAATTGTTTGACTTAACTTATTAAGTTCAAAACCAAGAACAAGAGCTATGTTTGTATATACTCGTAAACATATTTTGTAAGTAAAACTGCATTTTATGCTATTAATATTTTTTAACGAAGCTTATAATTATTCAACTTATTTCGCGCATTAATTAAGCGTAAAAAACGTTAGCTTTAGATTTTCGCAATGTTCACGGTAGTTGATTGCATTCGCATGATACACTGTTTATACTCGCTAGGCATCCTGCACGTAACTTGATTGAAATATCCTTATAATGGAAATGCTAACAATTCAATTTCGCTTTTTGCTTCTATCAGTAAAAACTTTAATTTGTATGGTCTCTTGAAGGATTTGGCTTTGCTCCAGCTACTTGAGCTTTTGGCGGTTTTATTACGTCATTACTTGAGATTATTGCAAATTTTACCGAGCGTACCATACAGATTAAAGTTTATTACCGATAAAGTATCACTCAAAATTATACCTCAATATATAATTGAGGTAGTTTGAATGTTTGCTTTAATATTCACGTATTTGTACGCAGATTCAGTCAGTATTCCAGAGGGCGAGGTTACCGCGACTGGCGCACCCGTGGCGATCCCACGCTTATCAATTCTCTGTGGCGCAGCCGGCAACCATTAGGCATTCGGAAACAACTCGGTATGAGTCTCTGCAACGTGTGCTACATTTGTAACCCTAACTTATCGTTATTCTCTTTATTCGTATATGCGATATAAATTAAATTGAAACTTTATTAGTGACCGTGTATGTATATGGATGTACGTAATTTAACAGGGAACGCAGAGGTGTACATAGTGCTAGCGCTACTTATAGGCGTAGTGACGGTAGTGGTAGGGTGCTGGCTGTCGGACAACTGTTGGTCGCCGGAGCCGGAGGACGTGCTGGCGGGCGGCTGACCCGTGGCGGCGGGCGCGTGCACGCACGTGTAGCGCCCGCCCTCGGCGGACCGCGACAGCCCGTCCGGGGCGGGCTCGCTCTCGCCGGTGCTGCCGCCGCCCGCGCGACCCCCCACCCTCCTGCACGCCGCGCGACACCTGTGCCGCGGCACCTGCATGCCCTGTGACAGACGACAGCACTTCTGACACCAGCCTTCTCATCAGAAGTTAAACCATATCCCGACTATAGCTAACGGAGTGTGCGAGTTCGGGCTGGACGAACACTGATCTAGTTTAAGTGTTTTTAAGACAGTCGATAAACCGTATGAGCTTCGTTTAATATTTCGATATATTCATATTGTGTAATCCAAATGTGTTAATGTGTATGCGATGGTTAAGAATAGTGTTTGGTGAAAATGAACTCTATCATAATAGATCTCACGACGGATCTCTCTCGTAGATTACGCTTCTAGCGGTCGCTCTGATTTTAACCACTAAACTTTACCACTTTACTGTTATTTCTAAATGGATGTGCCTTGAAATGCTTTCCTCGATTCGACTTGTAGTATAGAGCGTTTTTGAACCCTTTAGAAGGAATTTCTCTCTCTGTTTGTGTGGAAGTTCCCGTATTATAAGTGCAATACACATCATTACCGTGCCTTTACCGTTCTATAGACTTTGTAAGGGACGTAATTAACAATAGGTTTTTAAAAAAATACGCTTTCCCACTTGAAAGCACATACCGACCCTATTATAATTTCTTATTTATATTTTTGTAAGAGACAGCTTCGTTTATTTATGTTGAATACAATTATCATACGTTAGTAATGTTATGATAATGGAGAGCAAAGTGAGTTAGGACCAAAGTCTTGCTCACAAGCGCGTCAATTGGTTAAAATTAAAAAATCCATGGTAATAGGATAGTAATAACATTGTGAGACAACGACAAAGTAGAATTTTGATAAATTTTTGCCTGTTTGTAAATACATACCTTTACGTAAATGAGTAAATGGAGTATGCCAGATAAACAGATCAACGACTATCTACTCGTATAATGTGGTCCGTGGACTCGTGCTGATGATTATTAAATGAAATATGAACAGATTAAAAGATCTATAAAATTATGGATTTCACAGATTTTTCAGTGCTATAAATAAAATTAAAAAAAATTAAAATTAGTAAAGAACTCATTTTAAAATATGACAGACACCATACAAGTTCTTTGCTTTGTGTTTATTTTAATTTAACATATAAACAAATACATATTTAAGATGATATACAGCAAAAACTTATCGTGTATAAATATACTTAATTTGGAATATATTTTACTGAAAGTAAAACAATATATCTATAACAAAATTATATTTAATATAACAAAATGAAACATCACCTGTGCTAAATTATTATCGTTGAATTCGTTATAACTCATTCCAACTTATTATAGCAATATGTTACGTTAATGTTTAAACTGTATTGAATTTTAAAGCAACATTTGTATAATCATTATTTAAAGATATAATTAATCGGCTCGATTTGTATTACGATATTCAACTTATGCGAAATTCATATGTAAATTGGTTGTTATTTGCTTACCTCTGTTAACTTTGAACAGCTATGATGTCAATCATACGCAAACCTCCAACATTCGTTAAATAAGCATTCTGAAAACTGATGAAAGCTTATGTAAATATATGGAGAAGCTATTTACATTTTAAAGCACGCGCGTATCTTTACACTATACTGCAGTCATGATAGTGCATTGTTGAAACAGGGACATAATTGTCCACTGAATGATACGGTATCGTTGATAATAACCAAATAAACTGAAATATTATGTAATTTTAATTATATAGTTTCTTTACCGTAAAAGCTTTTACTTTCGTGATTGGAAGTGAACACAGATTAACATATAAAGAAAATTTTTTGTTTAATATAAAATGAAAGTAATCAAAAAAATTGTCAGGAGCAAGACAGACTTCGCATTCAGACTTCCAACCACCAGTTATAAAATTGTGATACGTATTTACAAAAAAACTTTATATGGAGTGGTAACTGGTAGTTCAAACCCTTATTGCGAGTCTGACTTGGACTGAGTTTTTGCCTGTTTGCCACGCCAAGCTTAAAGATGTCGCTTAGACAATTATTACTTAATAATTACCATATGTTTTGCTTTGTATCAGTTGTTTTAGTCTTTGTCATTAAGACAATTAAAAATATTGGCTACAAGAGTTTAAAAGGTAGAACAGACGGACGGACGGACAGAGACTACGTGTTTATTAGATAGGAAACAGTACTCTTTACTAAGCATATTTACTGTTTCTTATCTTTATATAATAAGGTCACCAAAGAAAGGCTGACGATATCGATTCACACAAAAATAGGCTTTGAAATAACGTAATAAAGATATCACAATCACAACTTATCTATATGTATTCTGAAGTATATGACACAAACATACACTTAAATAATATAGACAAGTGTCCTGGAAATACACGTTTGGTACGAGTATTACGATTCGGTTACCACGCAAATATGTGAAATGAAAACCGCTCGTTGTAGAGCGATGGGAATAAACGCACCTGCTGTTAAACAATACATTCCTAGCTGTTACACGTGTGACTTCGAATTCTGTATTAGGTAGTTCCGAAAGGGAATCTACGAGTACACCCACCCGTCTCAGCTAAATTGGAGTGCGTGTAAACGTGTTATATATATATATATATATATATATAATCTGTTTGTAGACTGAGAAGCGATACTGCAGTTTCAGTATTCTAAACGTACATACATATATGCAAATTAATTAAATACAAATTGTAATGAAACAAAACAAATAGTGTATGTCAAATATACCGACTTCAAATTAATACTGCAATTGAATGAGTAATTACTAGATTAATTAATCACAACGCAGTCTGCTTTTTTAAGTCATTAAATATTAACCAAGCCAATTAAAATGTGAATAACTCTTGTAATTTTGCACCTTATTGGATTTTCCTTCCCGAGAATATTATGGATTTATTTTTTTTGGAGCTAGATTCGATATATTTCATATTCGTAACATTCAAGTTTGAGTTTTAGGTGTGTCATTAAAAAGAATTCTTTAAAATTAATATTATTATATATGATATTCGGGCGACCGACTACGAAAGTACATTGTTCCACATCGCTTAATAGAATCAGACCCTTGTGAGGACAGTCTGCTAAAGTTATCTATGAGGACCATTACAAATAGATGTGTTACTATGCAATTGTTAATGTTTCGCGTGAACTTCACACTTCATCAACCATGCACCACTTATTGCACACTCTATTAGCAGAAGGCTGAAATAAGGTCGTCCATCACCCATGTACATAATGAATGTAAAATATCAAATGTAATTCATGCTAATATTATAAAGAGGAGAGATTTTCTCTACATTACCGCTGAATTTTATGGGGTTTTTTAATTGCAATAAAAATTGGCTTTGTGTCAGAAAACATAATAACTTTAAATTAACCTACGAAAGGCACCTATAGGGACGCACCACAGAGAAGCGAGAGTAAGTACCTATTACCTATATAAAGAAATATGTTGCAGTTAGATTATATTCTTAATTAAAAAACTACTGCTTTACCCTCTTGCCAGATTTAATCGAATATTGTTTGAGAGTATAAAGTCTAGAGAACATGCAGATGTTAGTTTGCTTGCGGAAAATCGGCGACAAATCACAGTTGCCAGACTATAAAATTAAATATCCATATTTAGTATTCATATTCAGTATGGTAAATCAAGGCGCCCTTGGCCATATTTCATTGGGCAAATCAGCTGCTATAAATTTCTTTACATATGTATATTTTAATATACAAACTTTTCCCGGTAAGCAAATGGCTGAAGGTCGACCTTACTTCGGATCTTAGACTATATAATCTTTATTAAAAAATAAATATGTATATATAGGTACTTCGAGGCTGTCGTCACAAGAGTCAGTTATTAGTACCCCATGAAATGAGAGAGATAGAACTAATCATGGTTATAATACTCATTACATTACACACTTGTAACATAATACTAGGTGTCCACGTTCGTCAGCATGTTTGGCGTTGTATGTCGAATGTTCGTGTAGTATGTAAGACAACCGACTGAATAGTCAACATTTTTATAAATTGTATAAATAAGTTAGACAGTAGCAAATTGTACGATTAGGTAAGCAATTTACTCGTCATATAGTACTAAGTTAAAGTTTCTTTTCATTATCTGTGCCTATTCATTACTTCAGGATTTTCTTAATTTTTCATATCAAATTTATGGCAATGTGCATATTATATTCATATATTGTATATTCTCATAAATTTTACAATAATATATTATTTGTATTTAAGATGTAGAAAAATTACTTAAGAATAAATACATTCCTTTTTGTAAAGAACCGAATGAAAAAAAAAGAAATGATCAGTGAGATTTATTCGCATTTCACGTGTTTTTATTCTCTTTGTTAGTGAGGCAGTAGTGTTAATATAACTACTACCTTGTACTATGTATGTATGTAATTATCGTCTATTGTTAACATAATTATGTGGTGCACTGTAACGTTGTAAGATCGTGTCATGTGGATATTGTAAATATTTTATTATCCACTTCCAAGATGTCTGTCCACGTCTTGCGTACAGCTTGGCTGAATAAGGAATTGAGAGAACCAGTAAGCTCAAGATAATACTTAGCATAATATAATTAATTAGATCATAATTATTAATGTGTCATTTGTCACGAATAATCCGAATAAATGTAATACTGTAAAGAGAGTGCATTTACTTTTCATTTGTTAACAAATGAGCTCCTATGGAAAGCTGAATGGAACTCCAGAAAGTAAACTGTTGCTATAGAAAAAAAAATAGGCCGTAGTGCTCCGCTGTAGGAAGGTGACACAGAAAGGCTTTATATTTGACATGTATACCTGCAACATAGACAAATTAAATTAAATTAATTATTATAACTGAATTATGACAGTTGAATGAATTTTACCGATTCCTGAAAACAT